ATATATTTTCTTCGCATTAAAGAGATTTATTCGAGAAATCCTGAAATAAGAAATCGAAGAAAATTTAGAATTTATACCTTTTTTATTTTAAATTGTCAGCAAATATACTTAAAACCTTTTTATTTCCGTAAAAAAGTATTTTAAAATAGTTCTTGAAATACTTCTTGAATTTCAATACATAAAAGAACAATAAATATAGATTTGTATTATATTATATTCTTCTAATGGATTATTTTGATCTGTTTTTCCAAGTGTTGCATTTACACACACATTTTGTTGTTTGTACATTTGTGAGCTTGACTCAACTTTTTGTTCTGCGTTCCTTTTTTCAAGCTCGCGCGCAAACTTTCTGCAGTGCAATGCGGATTGAAATTCTTTTATGTTTACAGCGGAATTTCTACTTTATTTTCTTTCATTACATATTATTTGCGATTGCTGGCAGCTATTGGTGGCCATAAACCTCAGAGGCAGTTGATTTACCTTTAAAGCATCGCTCATACGCCACGTGGCCGAAGCGAGCAAACGGAAGAGCGGAATTTAATGTTTTTAATTACGCTCATTTCGGCCTGCTTTTCCATGTTTACATTTCGATAAATTTCCACTCGGTCTCCGTCAGCCCTTTCATCATTTTTCCCTTCCCCTTTTTTTATTTTTTCTCGGCATTGCCTTCGTCCTTCATCCTTCTTCTGTGGCACTTGTCATCATCAACACTTTTAGCTGTTGCTTTTGCTGCTACTGCTGTTGCTCGTGCTCCTGCTCGACTAACGAATTTGGTGGCGCATAATGAGTTTTTGTTTCCGTCAGCTTAAGTTCCCCAATGCAGAGGAAGCAGCAGAAGCTGGAGCGGCAACAACAATTACCATTGCCATTTAATTAAAAATTGCAGAATAATTATTTTTCTTTTTCGCCTTGCTCCTTGTTTTCCTTGGCTCTCCTTTTCTCTTTCGCACGCTCGTTCTCCGGCGAGCGCGTGGAAAAACTTTTAAATAAACAAAGGCGCCCTCTGCAATTTGAAAATCTGCAAATTAGCACAAATGCAGCTTGCGGATGGATTGAGGGGATTGGGGATTGAGGGATTGAAGACTTGAAGGAAGCACTGAAGGTGCATGGAAATGTGCTAAGGGGAAACGGAAAACGGGGCAGGGGCATTGCAGCGACAAAGTGAAGTTTTCAATTACATTAAATCCGCAGCACAAAGTTATCGTCACGCACAGTTGACAATTTATTTGTTCGCCCACTAGTTTCCTGCCTGGCCAACACGTTCTTGGCCCGTACAAATGTCAGTTTAAGAGCTTTGTTCAAATGCGTTAATAAAATATTTTTCCCACTATTCCCCGCCTCCCAGCTCAACATCATTATCAGTGTGGAAAACTTTCGACCCGCTGTTGCTACAGGTGTTTCCTGAGCGACGTGCACACACGTCGCGTATGCGCAACTTTTCGGCCTACCCAGAAAAGTTTTTGGCCAACTTTGGCTTTAATGCCACCGAAACTCGTTTGCCCCAGAACACAAAACTCAACTGATGTTCGAGGCAGTGCGATTACAGTTCGTTTCGGTTCCGCGTGAAGTGCTGACAAATGCTGTCAATATATCAACTGTAAACCGTAAATGATGAGACCATTTATAATGCTGCTGCAAGAGCAGCCACAACAGTGCGCACTCGGTTCGTGCAACTGCAATATATACACTTCCACAACATATTTACACAGAATGTTTAGAATCACTAATAAAATGCTTTTGTATTTATCAAATTTTAACTTAAAAATTTAATTTGAAAACTGTATTCGTAATTTAAAAAAAACTTTTTTTATTTTATTTTAACCAAGATAGATTTTTTTAAATTATTTAAGACAGATAATCAAACATTTTTTTATTGTATTTAAATTGAGTCCAAGACGATTTACTTTAAATGCTTTGCGACAAAGTCACACTTAAAGATTTTATATACATAATTCGACATGAAAATATCTTTTTTAAAAATATTTAGTATTAATATTTTTAAAACTTAATCGGCTATTACAGTCTAATCAAAGATATATTAATTTAAAATTTGACCTGTTGTTAAAGAAATAATAAAGCACGTAGCTTATTTTACTTTTTATACAACTAACATTCTTTAATTATTGTTTTTATAGAAACGGTTTTGATGGCATTATCTTAGTTTTCTGAAGATTATGAAAATATTTGAGATCATTGCTATGGTAAATATCAGAATATTTATATGAACATATTTAATGAACATTTAGAAAGTTTTGATTATTGTCACCGATTAAACTTATGCAAATTAAGAACTTAAAAAACTTCCCGGTAATAAGAGTTCGAGAGCAGTTGGCGTGCTGCTTATTTCATTTATTTAATTAGTGAACGAAGGTTTTTTTAGCTAATAAAAATGATTTAGAAGCTTCTGCAAATTACGAATTTTAAAATTGCACATAAATATTTGTTGGAGTGCAGTTTGCGTGCTGCTTCTCTGGCAGGCAATAAGTTGAAAACCGAGACAGCCAGGCAGCAGCGTCAGCATTCAAGAATCCAGCTTAAGTAGCTGTTGGTGGGTCTACTCATCTCCTCAGAGCCTCTGCTGCTGTTTCCTGCTCGTCTCAACCTGCCACTTGATGTATATTTCGGCAACATTATACCCAGCGCTTAATACTTTATGCTTATTTTGTTGCCACAACCCGGTGCATGGAGGGATGGGAAGAGGGAGGGCCTGGCAAATTTATATTCTGCTTTGGCAGCCGGATAAAGTTGTCTAGCTCAGCCTGTTTCTGGTGCAACTTCGCCTGCGGCTTATGATAAACTGGGCTGCACTTAAGCTGCCTCTGCATACGAGTCCAGCTATGTGCTCCGCTCGTATTTACAGTTCGCTCTCCTTCCCGGCAATTCGATTTGACTGCCTGTATGTGAGTGTAAGCAGCTTAAAACTTATATAAATTTCGTTTGTGCCTGAGCTTCTTCCCCAGATATACTCGTATATAAAGTACGTAAAGAATTTTTTATAAATTGTTAGTCAATTTCTTAACCGGCTACTGCAGCTCGCCAAAGGGAGGGAGCTTAAGCTGACCAGCTGATGTCGGACACAGATTTCCGTAGCCACTGCGCAACAAAAGGGTGGCTTTACTGTGAGAAATGAAGCGTAAATTAATCAAAAATAAAAAATCACCGTAAATGCTCTATGGATTTATAAACTAAATCAATTAGTTATAAATAGGAAAAGTGTTTAATTTTTCACACTAGTTTCTTCAAAAGTTTTAAAAATAATTCAAAAATATTATTTTTTACTTTAGGCGGTAAACAAATCCGATAAAGTAAATTTTTATTAAATAACAGTTTTAAAGAAACACTGCATTTATTTGGATTAAGAAATAAGTACATAAAGAGCCAGACTTCTTGGTTAAGGGCCAATTAAAATATAAGTATTACAGGATAAATTTTAAGGTTGATGATGCCCTGGGGTAAATTCATTTTTGGTTGCCTGTATCTATGCTTTTAATATTCTCGATTAAAAACTTTCCCTTAATTTGTTTTACAAGCAAATAAATAAATTTGCTATAGTGAGCAGTTCAATAAATACAAAAGTACCAATAATTATGATTACATTAATGCTAAGCAATTATCGCCAAACCGAATAAACAAAGATAATAAAAATAAGACGAAGTCGCGCTACACTAAAATTTGAAAGAATCCGCTTTAAACATGCAAATTTCATAATTTTTAAATACTTTTGACAAATCAAAGGTGACTTGAAATATTTTGATATTTAACTTTCCCGCAGTGTATAATTATACATTTTTCAGGAGCGCTGAATAGTAAGGATTGAGGTGAGCTATAAGCAGTGGCAGTAACAACGGGACAAAAGCTTTTCATTATGCACGCCACTCGCCGGCGAACAACAACACGAACAGAAAACTCAAAAGGGCAAAGCTGCTCCGGCAATCCCTTCTCAACCTCCTCAACCTCCTCCTTCTCCTGTCAAGTGCACTTTTTCGAATGCCTTTCATCAAAACACTTAATTTGCATAATTTTTGCGAAGAGAGTTGGGCGGCCAGGCCCGAGAGCAGAAAGTATGAGACGATTTAATTCCGCCAGCTTTAATAAAATGCATTTGCAAGTACCAGAAAATGTGCCACACAATTCAGCCTCGAAAACTTTTCACTGGCAGGTGAAAGAAGAAACCTTTTGTGCGGTGCGGTAATCTAATACTTTTACTTCATTTACCGTTATGGGATTTCATGCACTTTGCGTTTTTTACATAAATGGTCCGGAAAAGCGAACCCGGGGCGCAGAATTGAGGATAGAGGCAGCATCAGACAAAAACAGTTCTGGCCAGACAAAATGCATTTTTCAGTAAATCAGCCTAATGCACTCAATGACCCCACTATCAAGCCTGAAAATATGGCCGAAAGCAACAAGCCCAGCTAAAAGGATAAAAACTACGAAGGAAAGGGAGGGTCGAAGCGGATGTTACGTCGTAAATTTAATCTGGCAAGCGATAGTTGAGGTAACTCGGTAAAGTAAATGCCCAAAAGCTGCAACAAAGACCACGAGTCAACCTCAAGGGATTCAATGAATGCTACCATTAAACGTGCTAGTTGATGGCAGATAGGGCTTTATTTAATTAAGACTATAGAATAACAGGAAATCAATACCTTCACTAGTTGTCGACAAAAACCTATTCAGATTGGGAAAATTATGGTCATAAATAAAAACAATTAAATTTGGTTAGAACGAACCATATTCAATTGCACAATTAACTGTTTGGAAACCTTTTGAGAATAATTAAATATAATATTAATAATTTAAAATTAACTTTAACTTTTAATTTAGCTTTAACTCTGTATTTTTTATAGGGTGGCTCGATTGTAATGCTAGATGATAATTACTCATTCTCCGAGACCTTTGACATGACATTAGACCTTACTGACACCACCTTTGGCACCCATTTAAGCAAATCCATTTAAGCCATGCTGATAACGTCTAACCTTCACCCTTTTCTATTGCAGCTGAGCGAGGACATTGGCTACGTGCTGTACTCGGCACTGGGCTCCTTCTACATACCCAGCTGCATTATGGTCTTTGTGTACATACGAATTTACTTTGCCGCCAAGGCGCGGGCGAGGAGAGGCATTAAAAAGCATCCCCGCAAAACAAACAACGAACAGGTGAGTGGATCTTCGGGGAGCCAGTGATTATTTATGAATTTTGACCCAACCAAATGTGCATACATGTGCCTAATGAACTCTGACGAAAGCTTTCAAAAATCGGGCACATCGGGCGGTCTCACACTTTCAAGGCATTAATGCGGTTGGCCGCAAAATGTGTCAGGCATGGAAATGGGAATTTTTACGATTCAATGGACAAATGTAATTCTTCTAACCGAGTGTGGCATATGCGGCGTATGTGTAATATTCGCACACCTTTCCCACGTTTTGGGCAAAAGTAATTGTGCATTACCCCAGGAAGCTGCAAATTGAGCACACATGCTTCGCTTCAATTTTCCATCAACAACATGTGGGCTACGTGTAGGATTTAGCCCATTTTCCCTTAACCCCTGCCCAGGCCATCAGGAATTGCAGCTTGCGCAAACGTTGCAATTTTAGCCGCTGCACCAGTTGGCCACGTTAGCAGGCCCATTATGCAGGACCATTCAATGCAATGGCATTTGCTGACTCCACACCCGCTCTTAACGGCCTTTGTTGGAAAATTATCGCTGCAAATTTAATCGAAACTCCACCCCAAAATCCACTGATTGAGTGAAAAGTCTCTAATGATCGTCAATTACCTGCCGCAACGACTGCCAATGCGCTTGCCGTACAATTCATACGCAATTTGCATTTTCAATTAACTGTATGCGCAATGCACACAGCCAAAAAAAAAGGCCAGAGGGTGGTGGAAAACATTACCGTCTGGACAGTGCTGGCAATATCAGCGACACTTCGCGACCATTTTGTGCAAACAAATTCAAGAGCAGCGGCCCAATCGAGCGATTAAGCAAACGAGAAACGGGGTTCGGTGGGGCGGTAGTGGGGGAAAAACAAGCAGAGATAACGGTAACAGAGGAAAAACAGAAGGCAGGGAAAACAGAGGGAAGATTTTTACACATATGCTGACAACGCGATTTGCTCTGAGCATTGTGTTTGCACCCATTACCAGGGTATGACAATTCGAAACAAAAAAAAAACTACAATGGGAAAAAATGGAAAAAGGATTACAAAAATATGACTATTATCAATATTTTAATATTATTAGTTTAATATTATTGTTTTTGAGTGTCATTCGTTTCTGCGGTTTAGTTACGATTTCAATTTTCAAAACTGGGTTAATGTTTTTCTAGCAGTACATCTTATTAAATTATTATTATTTATTTTTATTATTTTTTATTAGAAATAACGCTTTTATATACTCTAATTTTTAAGTCCTTTTTTAATTTCCCGGAATGGTCTTACTTATTGAACTCCTACTGAACAAAATAAATTAAAGGGTATTCCCACTCTCGATCCCCGACCCCCTCTTATTTTATTTTCATTTTCGTTGTGACGCTCTGTGTCTCTGTTAATTGCCCGGGGTAATTGTTGCTGCTTTTCGAGCATTGAATATGCACAGCCCCCCGCTATGCCCCATAGCCCTCGCACGTTGCATCCAAAAGCAACAGCCCTCGCTCCATGTTTGCGTAATCCGCGCGCTCGGACGCGTTTCTGCCGCCTGTTGGCTTAAACAGGATTTTCGAAATGGAAAACTGTTGTAGCAAGTGTTGGGCCATCTGTCCCTGTCCTCGACTGCAGTTGCACGGGTGCGGATCTGCAACCTAATTTGCAATGCCCGAGCATGCGAGACTGTTAATCACACAGAACCTTGAGAAATTAGAGCCGTGCCAGCAGCACTGGCAAATTAAAAATAAGACACAAGCAAATTTACGATTTCTAAATCAATAAGTAATATGATTAATTTTAATTATGGTTAACCATTAAATAAAAAAAATATATATTTGGAAAGACACACTTTTGAACTGCTGTAGAAAATAAAAAAAACACTCTGCAAAGATTGTATTACTTAATTAAAGTAAACATCATTACAATAGTATTGCGAATCGTCTATTAAATTATCTACTTTGCTAATCTAATATTTTTAAAACTTAATTTAAAACATTAGAAATGAGAAATTTAATTTTGAAATGTTTCGTTAAATAATAAGTCAAATTTGAAAACTGTTGGACCAAATGGGCAAATAAATAAGAATTTCAATATAGTGCATTGATTTTTTTAATTTACTGTCCCGACCAATCACACTCAAATTAAGTGTGTGTTTTATAATTTAATATTTTGTACAAAACTCCTCCTTTTGTGTCCTTTTGGATAATTAATTTGACCTTTTCTTTGCAGGTAACGAGCTTCACCACCGCCAAGAAAGGAACAATACCGATGCCCTCCTCCAGCGGCGTGTCCGCTTTGCAGCTGCACCAGCAGCGCCAGATAGCCACCATAGAGACACCACCGAACAGCGCCAGCCTGCCGATGCAGATACCCACGGTGACCATGGACCTGGCCTCCGACATCTCCACCTCGGAGGCGGGGGAACTGGAGGCGGTGGCCGCCCAAACGGTGCTGGCCTATTCCAATCCCACGAACGCGGTCACCGTGGTGGGCAGCGGGAACGGAGGTGGAGCCTCGGGTGCACCGCCCACCTCGCCCAAGGAGACGCTGCAGGTGAGCACGATAGCCACCGGCCGGGTGGGCCTCAATGTGCCCGTGCCCCCCTCCATGGGCAGCAACAACTCCATCAATGCGCTGAACAACAACAACGGCAGCGTGGCCATGGATGGAGGTGCACCACCCGGTGCGGGGGGCAATGGGAGTGCCGGGGCGACAGGCGGACTGCAAACGCCCGGCAACGAGCTGCGCGTCTCCCCGATCGCCGGACGGTGTCGAGCGTTATCCGTGGGCGTGGACACGGACATGGTGAGTGAATTCGATCCATCCAGCAGCGATTCGGGCGTGGTCAGTCGCTGTGCCGTGGTCAAGCCGCTCAAGTTTCGCCTTTGCCAGCCGATCTTCGGGCGCAAGTCCAATAACCAGCAGCGGCGCAACGAGGCCAAAACGACGGCCAAAAATCAGCAGCCCGCTGCAACGGCCGCCAAAAATCAGCATCAACAGCAGCAGCAGGTGGTGAAGGCGGAACTGGAGCCGGCCATACCGAAGACACCGAAGCCCCGGGATCCGGAGAAGGAGAAGCGTAGGATTGCGCGAAAAAAGGAGAAGCGGGCCACCCTGATCCTGGGCCTGATCATGGGCAGCTTCATCGCCTGCTGGCTGCCGTTCTTCTTCCTGTACATCCTGGTGCCGGCATGTAGCAGCCACTGCAATATACCGGAGTCGGCCTTCGCCGTCGCCTTCTGGCTGGGCTACATGAACTCGGCCCTCAATCCGGCCATCTACACCATCTTCAACAAGGACTTCCGCCGCGCCTTCCGACGCATCCTGTTCAAGTGATGTTTGTCCTACGTGTGCTGTTACAGGTGCGTTTACGCCAGCATTGAGAAGGCAACCGAACGTGCCATGGGCAGCACACCCATGGGCTATGGTCATGGCATGTATCAGCACTACAGGCGTTAGATTTGCTTCGTTTTGGTAATGCCATAAGCCGCCCAAGTCCCAAGTCCCAAGCCCACTCCCCAGAGCTGCAAAACTATTGACGGCACTGTCGACCTACCGTGTATTTTTACTTGTAATTGTTTTATTCCTTGATTCCTAATCACTGAAGTAGAAAACAAGATTTTTAGAACTATTAATTAATTTTACGGCATTTTGAAAAAATGACATCTTTTAATCAATTGTTAGACATTTGGACTGTCCATCAATCGTTTTGCAGCTCTATCCCACCCATTCACTAAACCCTTTCCCCAGCTTTCTTTGAATTTTTAGTTGAATAAAAAAGTAACGAACATTGTAGCTCATTTCAAAAGCAATGAACGGCTGTGAATTTGATGGAATCTCTCAATTTCAATTTACGCATTTTGGTTTCGTTTCGTTTGGTTTCTCGAGCACCCTTGAACCCAGAGACCCCAATCCCCAAAGCCCGCTGAACCCGCCCCGCCACCCACACACTTTTCACACTCGACGAGCTCATAGAAATGCATGAGCTGTGCAAACAAGAATTTGAGCTGGGCAAACATCTATTATGCTGCCTGAATGGATGTGTCCGCCTGGGACGTCTATGGCCATTCAACTTGAAATAATTTCGCAAATTTCCATTTGCGGCTGCATTGCCAATGCCGAACTTCAGTGCAGACTGCAAATGTGTCAGGAGTCAGGTAACCCGTGATCCGCTCGAAGCACCAGACCACCATTGTTGTGCGTTGGCAATCAAAATCGGGGTCAACAAGTGTGCGTTCCAGTCGAACGTTGGCAGCAAATTAATTTAATTTCTTTTTAATATTTTGGCAACCGCTTATCCACTACTTCGACGAAACTCTCAGAGTCAGGGCGCCTGAGATTGCGAGGCTGCATTTGGCTGGCGGCCAAATCAATAATTCCATGTGCACATAAATGTAACTATAATCTAGCACAACGGCCACACAATTCGGCGTAACAAAGTGAGCACACAGCTATGGAAACAGAAACAGCGACAGATTCCACCAGGCAGCCGTAGTTTTATTCATTCACTCAAAGATATTTCACTCAGCGACACAGAAAGTGGGAGCCAAAAAAAAATAAACCAAATGTATGGGAACCAATGCCTAATGGGCACAGACAGATGCAAATGCTAATGGTTGGCTTCTACACTCAAAAAATTAACATGATTCTGAGTCATGTAAATTTTATGGTGACTAATATCATATATATTTTTTAAAACGTTTTATTTAAGGCCTTTTAAACAGAAAATGTTTAAAGATGCCTTATTTAATTATAACTATGTAGGTCAGTCAAATAAATCTAAAATTTAATAATGTTTTGATGTACCTGATTAAAGGCATTTATTAAATAACTTCAAATTGCTTTAAACCGAGAATATAGTAAATGGATAAGATTGGAAGCACCAACCCACAGGGTGACATAATCTTTAAAACTCAGTGAAAGAAAATTTAATTCATTATTTTCAGCGAACATTTTTTTGTAGAAGCGATTCAAATTGATTTTTGTTCTCAATAAACTTTCAATTTTCCATTACCAGGCATTAAGAATAATTCTTTTGAATAATTTTACTAGTATTAACAATTTATCGATATAAGCGAAATTATTTTTTTCCGTGAACATTTCACAATTTTCTCCACTATTTCCCACTTTAGTTTTTGGCTATGCATCAGCAAATGCATGCGCCCGGCCGAGTGGAATAGACAGCCCGTCACCCAGTCAGTCAGTCATTCAGTCGAACGGACAGACAGTCGTCACTGGAACGCTACAATGACACCGAGTTAGACGAAGATGGAGACAGAGGAGCAGCTAGGGACAGAGGGCAGGGGACAGGGACGGACTGACTCTGTTTTTGGCATGTGGCCCAGAATGGCTCTCCATTTCGTTTGGCTGGTTGGGCTTGTTTTGCTGGCCAAAGCCAAAAAATGGCAAGGAAGAATATATAGTTCGCCCCAGAACCCATACAAACACGGAGCTTCAGGCTGACAGTCTATGCATAAATTTTACGTACAATTTATTTTACTTCCTGTGTGATGGCTTCGTCGCTCATATTTTTTGAACACTTTGTGGCAAGGTGCAACTAAATCTGCAAGCCACGTGTAACCACTATCGGCCACGCCCAGCAAATTGTAATCTGCTTAGAGCAATCTTCAATCTCCAATATAACATCCATAATCACCTTGTTCTATGGTTCCCACAATTTATGGCAGATCTTAGAATCGCCCGACCTTTCAACACATGTCGGCCGAGCCGAAGATTGATCAGATTTATAGTTCTGTCCATAGGCTAAGTGCTTGCGGTTGCCGAAGACCTCTTAAAATTGTTTAAGAACGCATAAATAATGTGACCGAGATCGGCCGTGGGTGGCTGTGTGCAGGGAAGTGTTTCATTTGAATAAATGGAAATCGACGCAGGAACTTTGATGGTGTTGAAAGACAAACACCGAAGGCTTTTGGTGCCTGCATTTTTTATGGATCACACAGCATCCTGCTGAACGTTTTGGCATTGTCAGCAATGTGTGTACAACAACTGCACTCAAATGACAATTTGAACAACGACAGAAAGTCCAACAATAACAGCTACAACAACAAGCTAAATGGTAGAACAAAAAAAGGACCGTCGCATGCACAAAGCGAAATCGAAAACAATTGAAATCGACAGCAAGGGAAAAGCGAGAGGAGGTGGTGCACGGAGTGTGGTGCAGCAGGTGGTGCAGCAGGCACATTAAAATGCGCGAAGTACACAGAGAGTAATCACAATTTTGAGTTTTCTAATCTATATACTACACTTTAACCAGGTTAGAAACCTGTAATATTCCGAATTTCTTAACTACCAGATTTACAAGATGTGAAAATGGATTTTAGAAGTACTTGTGGTTTGGAGGAATATTTTTTTAGGACTGTGGGTTTTTAAAATCGTTTTATCAATTCATTTATGGAAGCATAAAACGTCTAGGAGTTTACATTTTAAATCAGTTTTCAAATTATATTGTTGGCTAACACTTAGGAGTTTAAGTCCAGTTTTATTTCATTTCTTTCAATGTAAACACAAATGCAGCCCTTACACACACAACACTTAACTGCACTTAGGTGCGACAGCCAGATGAGTGTCGAACGGCATTCCACGGATGGCATTGTTTCGCCAGCACACTGAAAGTCATTTTCACTTAAAGCGTAAAAAGCTGCCAGGCATTTTAGACCACCATGCGTATACGCAACGTCGTCCTTTGTGTCTTTTTTTTTGGAGGAGCCGCATCAGCGGAATTTACTAAAGCCCATTAATAAAATTGCAATTAACGTCACAATTAGCAATCACCATAAATTAAATGCTTGACAACAATTTTAAATTTATCATTACAAAGTATCCAAACAAAAAACATATAAAGCGTATAAAAAAAAGAAGGAAAAACCATTTGAATAATTCGGTACTATTTAAAATAATTCTCATAATTAAATTATGCGATTTGGAATGCACATTTTTTTCTTTGTTTGCCTTAATTGTTTTGAGTCAACAAGGGAGTTGTCCGATTTCGATTAAATAACAAAAATAAGCGTTAAGCATTAACGATAATTACATAAAAACATTTTAGATTACTGTAGAATTATTGTTTCACTGGTGTTTTTTCTTACAACTTAATTCTGAGCGCCGGAGGCCGCAAATTCAGTTGTGAAATTTAATTATTTATTGCGCAAAATGCGTAATTAGAATTTGCATTTCTGTCAACATCTATTTCGGCGCTATGCATTATACGCCATAAGCGAATTTAATGCCTGATTAGCTTGGCAAATTGCAAAGGTATTTATAGAAAATCGGATAGGCAGGGATTAGGTACTTAAAATGCATGTCTGTTTGCGGCTGCTGAATTTTCAGATTATTTTGCAACAGTTGGTAAATATTTAGTTGCATTTTTTGGAAATTACTGTCTATCATGCAGACAAATGTTTATTTAAGCGTAATTTTTGCCTAAGCCCACTATTCATAATTACAAGTAGTTTCAAAAATAGTAAATAAATAGCAATACTTAAATAAATTCGAATAAAAGCATCAAAGCCATCAATAAAACGGCGCTCACTTTCGTTTACGACCCTCCCACATGATAAACACGTGAAAAATGCACACAGAGAATTGCATTGTTGCCAAAATCGCTTGAACGCTTCTGCGGCTGCTGGAATTTTCGAGGGTCTGTGATATATTTATTTTTTTGGAACGCTCTTGGAGCAATTATCGTGACCATTAGGCTGCAGGCGCATGAATCACAAAAATGCCGCTTGCTGGCCTGCATAATAATTAATAAAGTATAAAAGCCATAAATGTAAAACTCATAACGACAAATGTTGGACCATAAATATGCACTTAGGTATTTATGCGCATTGACAGCATGAATATTTATGAGGCAATGACGACAGCTACAGCGGCCATTAAAATGCGCCCCCCGTTGATTAATTGGAAAAGTTGAGTTGGTTGTGCTGGTTCGGTTCAACGGGTCGTATGCTTGACGCTTTTTCCTCCCTTTTGGCTTGCCTGAAAATATCGCCCAAAACTAAGCAAATCCAATGCCTGTGTTCAGGTTAAGAAACGAAAAAGCAAAGAAATTTACTTATTTGCCATTAGATAAGCCATGCGACCATCTAAGTTCAAGTTTTGAGGCTTGTCTTTCAAAACCAAAAAAATTACAATGACTGAAATGTTTAATGAAATTATTTCATTATAAAAAACAAAAACCAAACAAATCGCAAGTAACTTAAACGTATTTCAATATTTAAACTTAAACTTTTTGCTAATTGTAAACTAGACACAAATATTTATATATATAAATATTAATATTAAATAAACAGATATATATTAAAGTTGAATTTTGAAATTAGATAAATGCAAACGGCGAGTATTCGAATAGTTCAGAGATATTTAGAATAATTTATAGTTGCCGATAAATAGAAACGTTTACTCATTTAATTGTATCGTAAACATATGCATAGCAAAAATTTTAACTCATATTCTCATATGTGTCTGTTCCACCTAGTTGTGCGTAGATCAAATATGAGCAAAACAAAAAATACCACCAGATAATGAGCAAACCATAGCGATAATTCATGGAACCGAAAACATGTGTACAATCTGTGAGTATGCACATGTACATCAAATCGAGCGGTAAAAAATCAAATTTTGGAAATTGTCGGAATAAATTAACATAAACTAAAACTATCTACATTTTAAGCGGAAGTCTTCCACTACAATTACGCTCTCACCACTTGCAATGTATTCGTTTCCTCGTTTTACCGACTTCAACTTCTGTTCCCGGGCAGACTATGTAACTAAATGTGTGTATATTAAATAA